CCTGTAGCCCTATACTTAAGATAAAAGTCATAGGTCTCAAGGGAGAATAAAAGTCAGGAACTTAGGTCTTGCATCCCACCTCCCTGGGGTCTGGGAAGTTAGAGCAACTTGACTGACAGCACTACAATGGGGACAGCTGGTGCTCAAAGACCAGTCTAGATACTGGTAACAGATCAAGGGAGAAATGGATACCAGGCGATGTGCACCCCACACTCAGCACAGTTCCTGACTCAGAGGTTCAGAATTATTTGTTAAGCAGGTTCATATACTAGAGATTCCCACAGTGCACAGTCTGGAGTCCACTGGCATCATTAAGATGGAGCTGGAACTGGAACTAACAGGACATCCAACTCCAAACCCAACCCAGGTAGTCAAAGTGGGAACTGACTAACACACCCAGGAGATCCACAGGTAAAAATCAAGGCATACCTCAATCCAGGGGCCCCAAACAATGTCACTAAGTCTGTCTTCTTGCACCCTGTTTCATTGCTCCACATCTCCAAATCTCTCTATAAGCTGTCTTCATTCTCCTCATAGACAGGCTATCTCCATATGGAATAAAGACGGCTGCTTGTTGCCCTTATATCTGATACCCTATGCTTGAGTTCCAGAAGAATGACCCTCCTGAGCACCTGTATACTAAATGAGCTCTTGTGGCATAGTCTATAATGATTTGCGCTAAAGTTGTGGTACCTCCTGGGCTGCCATCAGTGGTTCCTCGGTAGGAAAATGAACAATTGCCTGCTATGCAATTCACAGCCTCTGAACACTCGTTGAAGCTATGAGTCGGTTCTGATTCAACAGCAATGAATTTGAGTTTATATCAGTAAATATGGAGTGACACTGATTGGTGTTGGTAAGTCACATGCCCACCACCTAGGGCCAATCACTGGGAACAATGAGAGATTGTGCTCCTGCAGAACCTGCATATAGGAAGGGGATGTTGTTAAGTGCCATTGAGTCGAGTATGACTCACAGCAATGCTGTGAACAACAGATCTGAATCCTGCCCTATTCTGTGCCATTCTTACAATTTCTGACACATTTCGAGCCTTGTAGTCACTGTGTCAATCCACTTGGCTGAGAGTTCACCTCTCTTTTGTCGTCCCTCTCCAAGGAATAACCTCTCCTAGCAATATGTCCAAAGTATGTGAGGTGAAAATCTTCATCACCTTTGCCTCCAAGCACTCTGGCTGCACCTTCTCTAAGACATGTCTGTTTATTCTTTTGGCAGTCCAAAATGATATTCAGTAGGGGAGCTTTGGGTGGCCTAGTGGCAAGAAGCTGTGCTGCAATCCCACACAGTTTGAATCCACCAGATGCTCCACTGGAAAAGGAGGGGCAGTCTCCTCCTGTGCCAGTCAGATCCGATTCAAAGGTACACAACAATTTAAAAAAAAAAAAAGATGATATTCAGTACTCTTCTCCAATATCATATCTTGGTTCTTAATTTCAGTTTCTTCAGCCTCAATTTGAACTTGCATGTGAGTAATTGATGCTCTGACTCACAGTCTGCCCCTGACCTAGTTGGGTTTTTTTTTTTTAATTGTCAAAGGTATTTATTTTTATATCGCTTTCTGGAAAGATACTTGTTTAATTGCTTTATTTAAAGAAATCTCTATACCACACTGATATTCAAATTAAATAATACATTTGGGGGGGTGTCTTCTTTTGGTAGGCACTGGTATATTTTCTTAATTTTTACTTTATACTGGTTTATTTCCTAGCCTAGTTTGAACTTCCAGTACTCTGAGGTTCCTGACTGACGACTTTCCCAGTGCTATAAGTCTCCTGACTGCTGGTACATTGATTTGGATCCAAATAAGATTAAGTTGTTTACAGTTTCAGTCTTTTCTGCATCTGTCACGATGTTGCCTATCAGTACAGTGATGAGGAATTTTGTTTTCTTGACGATGACATGGAATCCATATGGAAGGCTACAGTGTTTGACCTTTTGCAGCAAGCACTTCAAGTCCTCACTTTCAGCAAACAAGGTGTGTGACTGCATAATAAAGTTATTGATGAGTCTTCCTCCAATCCTGATGCCACATTCTTCTTCATAGAGTCCAGCTTCTGGAATAATTTGCTCAGTGTACAGACTAAATAGATATGGAGAAAGGATGCAACCTGATGCACACTTTCCTTAATTTTAATCCTTGTGGTGTTCCCTTCACTCATTAGTGTTCAAGGCCTCAAACCTGTTCCTGAGATTCTCTTTAAATTCTAGTGGGATAGACTTGAGGTCAAATTTTGGTTCTTGTGAATTTGATTTTATCTTCTTTAGCTTCAGTTTGAACTTGCATGTGTAGTTGATGGTCTGTTCTAGTCAGCACCTGGCCTACTTTTCACAGCTGATACTGAGCTTCTCCAGTGATTTCTTCCATAGATGTACTCAGTCTGATTCCAGTGTAGACCATCAGGTGAAGTCCAGGTGCATAGTCGCCATTTATGTTTCTCACAGAAGATATTTGCAATGAATAAGTCATTGATGTACAGAATTCTATCTATCTCTAGCTTTATTTCTGTCACCAGGTCCATGCTTTCTGACTACTGATCCTTCTTCTCTGTTCCCAACTTTTGCATTCCAATCACTCATTATTATCAGAGTATATTGGTTGCATATTCAATCGATTTCTGGCTGCAAGAGTTGGTAGAAGTCATCTATTTACTCCTCTTTGGCCATTTGTGCATATATTTGAATGATAGTGGTATTAACAGGTCTTCCTTGTATGCATATGGATATTATCCTGTCACTCACAACACTGTATTTCAAGATTGATCTAGAAATGGTCTTTTTAACTATGAATGTGACCCTGAGGAGCAACACTGTCAGTCTGGATACTAAGGTGTGCTTGATCCAAGCCATGGGCTTCAGAATTACTTGCTATGATCAGAGAGCTGGACAGTAACTAAGGATGATAGAAAAAGGATCGATGCCTTTGAGTTGTGGTGCTGGAGAACAATGTTGAACATACCATGGACTTCCAGGAGAACAGATCTGTCTTAGAGATAGTTAAAACAAGCTGCTCCCTAGAGGCAAGATTTTTAATCTCTTTCTCACATACTTTGGGCATGTGGCCAGGAGAGACCGGTCCAAGGAGAGGGATATCATGCTTAGAAGGGTGGAGGGACAGCACAGGAGAGGAAGACCAGAGTGAGATGGATTGATACAATGAATGGAGAAATGGGATTAGGTTTCTTGAAAATAATGGGATTGGTTCAGGTTAGGCCCAGGTTCAGAATTAATGTACATAACGTTGCTATGAGTTACAGGTGACAGGATGGCACATAACAACAACAGTGCTTCCCCTTCCTCCGTTTGCACAATAGCCTCTTGGTTCAGGTACAGATTTTATAGGAGCACTATTAAATGTTCTGGGATTCCCATTCTTCTCAATGTTAGCCTTAATGTGTACAAGGGGATAATCTGATTTAAAATCAGGAAAGTTGTGCATCAGGGTTGTAGCCTTTCACCATTCTTATTTAGTCTGCATCCTGGGTAAATGATGTGAGAAACTGGTTACTTGGTGTAAAATATGACACCAAGATTGGAGGAAGTCTCATTTACAGCTTTTTTTTTACAAAATTTTTATTGTGTACCATCAAATCAGATCCAACTACCACAGGAGGAGATTGTCCCTCCTCCAGGGGAGCATCTGGTGGATTCCAATTGCATGCCTTTGGGATTGCAGTACAGCTTCTTCTAGGCCACCAGAGCTCCTCATTTACCACTTTAGATACATAGATGATACAATCCTTACTTGCTGAAGAGAACTTAAAGCACTTACTGATGACAAACAAATATGGATTCAATATAAATTACACCTATACATTATTGTATATTACTATGTGCCATATAGTGACCTGCAGCTCTGTCGGCCCTATGTACAACAGCCCTAAACCCTGCTCTATCCTGTGCCAATTTTATTGTCTCTGACACACCTACCTCCATTACCCCAGTCACTGAATCAGTCCATCTCATCAAGAGTCTAACTCTCCTGCGCTGCCCCTCCACTCTCCCAAGCATGATGTCCCTCTCCAAGGACTGGTCCCTCCTTACAACATGCCCAGAGTATGTCAGACGAAGCTTCATAATCCTTGCCTCCAAGGAGAAGCCTGATCTCACCCTCTCTACGATGAACCTGTTTGTTCTCCTAGCAGTCCATTCAGTACTCCAGCTCAAAGGCATCAATTCTCCTATCATTCCCTATTACTGTCCAGCTTTCTGCATAGCAAGTGATTGCAATGACTGTCCTAAATCAGGCTCACCTTAGTCTCCAGAATGTCATCTTTGCTCTTCAGTACTTTGGAGAGGTCAGCTGGTTTTCCCAATGCAATTTGTCTTTTAATTTCCTGGTTGCTGGTATTAAGAGTGCTGATTGTGGAGTCAAGCAAGCTAAAGCTGTTAACAGACTCAATATCTTCACCATCCTATATATACATAAAGAATACAAAATTCCTTACAGCTGGACCAAACAATAATCAACACCGTGAAAAACAAAAAGACAAATTGTCAAGGATTTACGACTTCTCTATAGTGTTAAAAAATAAAAAGCTTGTTTCAAAGGCTGAAGTGTACCTGACCCAAGTCGTGGTGTTGTCCCTCTTGAGGCTTCCTAAATCACCGAATTTTTGAAATGGAAACAATGCTACATTTTGAAGTCACAGATACCGCTGAAGGGAGTAGGACGGACGCACGCATGCGTGGAGCTGTGAGCTGTAGGCTGGGGGCGGAACCTGAGGGGCGGAACTGAGACCTGCGCGTGCTCCTTGGACCTAAAAAGTTACCTGGCTGGAGGGGGTTTGACTTCGGGGAGTTACGGGCAGCGCGCGCGCGCCGGCCCCGCCCTCAGCATCTTCAGGCACCTGTTGGCTCCAGGGCTCACAAGGCTGCAGATTCCATCCAATAAGCAGGCTGCTTGACCCCGCCCACCTCCAGGATTCTCCAATCCCCAAGTGGCCGCGGCCTCTCTCCCTCGAAGGGTCCACCCCCCAGGCGCTTCTTCCGGGTGGGGCCCCGGGCCGAGGTGATGGCGCCTTTGGCGCGCCTCAACCCTGGGGTCCTGGTGCGAACGGGGCACACCGTGCTGACCTGGGGGATCACGCTGGTGCTCTTCCTACACGATACCGGTGAGCCGGACCCCGCTCAATCCCGGATCCACCCGATCCCGCATTTGGGACTCTTGTGGGTCCCCAGACTCCCAGGATCCACCTGATCTCCAGCTCCACTCCCCACCTATTATTTCATGAGCCACCTGCTTTCTGCCTGACACCCAGTTGGTCCACATTTAATCGTAGTATCTTCTTGCTCTCGGCTGGATGCCCCGTCCATCCTGGCAAGATAGAGGATCCATTCGGTGTCCACGAGATCTGACGACCTTACATGAACCCCGATTTTCCTTAATCTCAGCAGTGTTTCTTGCTCTGTATCACTCACTTAGCTCCACATTCCCTAACTCTCCCCTACGCATTGTTAGAATGGGCTTGAGTATACCAGAGATAATGAGAATGGCACAGGAGAGGGAAAGGCATCTTTCTTCGCATTGTGGTGGAGTCATAACAACAAGCCCCCTATCCAGGGCTTTTTACCTATTTATTAGTGGAGGCCTCTGACACAAGTTCTCACCACCCTCCCTGCCCCACCCTTCCCTCTTAAACCTTTCCCCCTGGACTGGTGGCAGTACTGCCCTCCGTGACCCTCTCTAGACACCTCAATCACTTCACCAAGTAAAACCCGCCCAGACCTGCCCATCAGAAGAGAACCCCCAGTCTCCTCTCCTTATCTGATTCCTTTTATGATGAGGGGCATTAGTTGTTTATTCTGCTGTCTAGCTGACTTCTATCTCCAAACTCAGTCAGCTCCTTTCCTCCAAAATACTCCTCACTTACCCTCATGGACCCAGGCACTGCCTGCACCCTCCCTCCTCTGGCCTGGGGTCCTGCAGCATCCAGGCCTGTTGCCTCACTATGCCATGTCTCTTCATGGGCATCTCAGACCTGGCCAGTCTCTCACCATTACAAATATCAGACTTGAACCCTCCTCCCAAATCCATTCTGACCTTTCCACACTCCCTGTCAGAGCACCTTCCTTTCCAGCCTGTACAGACTGCTGTGTCTACAGGCTCCCCCTATTCATCTCTTCCCCAGCATCAGAAGGGTTTTCAGAAACACAAACAGGACCCCATAACTTAGGGCTTACTATTACCCTCCACATAGAGAATATAACTTTTTTTTTTCTGGCAGTAACCCTCCCCCTCTTGGGCCCCATGTTGGGGCCACATCTGACCCCTCTTCAGACTCCATCTCTAGGCCTTTGTTCCTTTCCCCATCTTCAGTCCCACCCAACCCTTTCCACCCAGCCTCATTCTTCACCTCTGGCTTCCCCAGAGCTGCGGCAATGGGAGGAGCAGGGAGAGTTGCTCCTGCCCCTCACCTTCCTTCTCCTTGTGCTGGGCTCCCTTCTGCTCTACCTGGCTGTGTCACTCATGGACCCGGGCTACGTGAACATCCAACCTCAGCCCCAGGTAACCTGGGGAACCTGGGGATTTGAATCCCTTCTTCCAGCAATAGGGGACCCAAGATCCCAGAATGCCAGGCTGTGAGCTGGAGGAATCCTCTTGGCATTTCTGAGGCAGGAGCAGCTAAAAGCCCACCCTACAGTGAGGGAGTCAAAGTCCAAAGAGCCACAGCAACTTGCAGAGGTCACAAGCCTCTTAGTCTAATGTGCTTGACCCCTCACTAGCTCTTCTACCCACTGGATGAGCCCCAAACTGTCCTCACACAGCACTAAGCTGGCCCCAGGGTGGACACTTGTTGGTGCCAACTGCTTTCCAGGGGTGCCTCATCTTATGCTCTGTCCTATTTTTAGGAGGAGCCAAAGGAGGAGCAGACAGCCATGGTTCCTCAGCCCATCCCCCTGAGGCGCTGCAGATATTGCCTGGTGCTGGTGAGTGCTGCAGGACCCCCAGGGCAGGACCCTCAAGGCAGGACCCCTGGGGAGGACCAGGAGTAGGCCTGACATTCCCTGACTTTCTTGCCCAAATGTCCTGGGTCTCAAGGCTAAGCCCTGGTCTTACTCCTCTTCCAGAAAGATCTTCCAGATCCACAGTCACAGCTATATCCCCAACTCTCCCCTCATTCTGGGCCCCTAGAAGATACAGTGTTGAGTCCCAACCCCCCTTGATGCCCACAGCAGCCACTGAGGACCCGGCACTGTCGGGAGTGCCGCCGCTGTGTCCGCCGCTATGACCATCATTGCCCCTGGATGGAGAACTGCGTGGGGGAGCGCAACCACCCACTCTTCGTGGCTTACCTGGCCCTACAACTGGGGGTGCTTCTGTGGGCCCTGTATCTGGCATGGTAGGCACTGCTGTGGCTGGGGTGTGGAGGTGGGCAGGTACCTATGAGGCCAGGGCTCCCCAAGGCTCTGCAGGAGGAAGAAGGAAGTGGCACTACTACACCCATCAGTTGTCGGTCCTCTACCTTGTCCTACAGGTCTGGCCTCAGGTTCTTCCAGCCCTGGGGCCTCTGGTTCCGGTCCAGTGGGCTTCTTTTCGTCACGTTCCTACTACTGTCTCTCTTCTCGTTGGTGGCTGGCCTGCTCCTGGCCTCACACCTCTACCTTGTGGCCAGCAACACTACCACCTGGGAGTTCATCTCCTCTCACCGAATTGCCTACCTCCGCCAGCGCTCCAACAATCCCTTTGACCGAGGCCTGATCCGAAACCTGGCCCATTTCTTCTGTGGATGGCCCTCAGGGTCCTGGGAGACCCTCTGGGCTGAGGAGGAGGAGGAGGGCAGCATCCAGGCTGTGTAGGATCACTGGAGGCAGAATCACCATCTCGTGCCTGAAACCTACCAGGTTCTGCCTGCAGTTCCTTACTCCTATTCACTTCCTCCCAGGCCTGAGGGTGGAGGGTGAGGACAAGGTTCTGCTACTGTGAGCAGCTTAGACCTCTGTAGGAAGGCCAGGAAGTGGACCTGTGGGCTGCTAGGGAACAAACAGACTCTTGAATTCAAGACTTCTACCTGACCCCCAAAGCCAGGCTGCCTCCCAGTGCACAATTTTATCAATTTAATAATCCATAAATCAAAATAAGTATTCAAAAAATAAAACAAGCCACACATGCCTGCAGTGCCCTTCTAGTCTGTCTTGTAGAGAAGCAGAGAAAGAGATGGGGTGCAGTGGCCCATTGATACATGATGGGCAGCAGACTCCATGATGTGCAGCTCCGTGCTGCCAACCAATGGCTCCTTGACCACTGGGCCCCAGAGGAGGGCTTCTGGAGTGGGGCTGGAAAACATCCAGCCAGCCTGGGAGAGAGGGGTGCTGGAAGACACCCTCACGGCTCCAGGAACCGCTCTGACACAAAGTCAAAGTCCCGGAAGACAGCCTGTTGTTGGATGGTGAGCTGGCTCCGAAGGTCAGGTGGAGTCAGAGTAGGTGGCAGCCCAGTGAACTCTCCCTCAAAGTAGCGCAGGTCTGCAGGGCCACAGAGGGTGGGCACAAAGGGGGGCTGGACTGTGCAGGCAAGCAGGGCCTGCCAGTTGGTGGTCTGAGGCCAAGAATAGAGGGTCCTGAGGTTAGAGTCGAAGTCTCTTGGCTCACTCTGAGTTTTCCCACGCTATCCAGGCCCTGCCCCTCAACCCTCACCCCACTCCCACCCCCAGCCACTCACCCTGAAGAAAGGCTGTGCCTTGATCTCCTCAGCATCACATGCACTGGCCCCCAGGCGCTTCTCTGGGCACTTCTGGAGAAGCTGGGAGAAAGGATGGTTACCTGCTGAAGGCGTTCAGCCCCAGGGATTGCTTGCCTTCCCAGGCACCCAAGCAACCTGGGCCCTGGGACAGAGGCCGTGTGGACTGTGAGAAGCTCTCCACCAGACCCTGGGCCCTGCAGTGTTTACCTTCTGAATGAGCTCAAGTGCTTGCACAGACAGGAAGCGGGGGTAAGGGACATCTTCGTTGACAATGCTGTCAAAAACCTCCTCCTCGGTATCCCCTGGGAATGGGCACTGTGGAGATGAGGCCTCAGTAGGTTGTAGGGGCCCAACCTGGAGGCCCCAGGCACCCTAGCCCAGCACTCACCTCGCCTACCAGCATCTCATAGAGCAGCACACCCAGCCCCCACCAGTCCACAGCCCGTGTGTAGGCCTCCTGGGTCAGCACCTCGGGGGCCAGGAATTCCGGGGTGCCACAGAAGGTACTTGTCCGGTCCCCAAAGCCAATCCCTGCAAAACCAGCATCCACATAGGACACCTGCATTGTGTCCTGTTCAGAATGACCTGACTCTGCTGTTGTAAGAACCACCAACCAGTCCCACTGAGGCCAGGGTCTCAGGGCATCAAGAGCACATAGAAACAGCTCAGTGCCTCTTCCAGCCCTGACCACAGACTCGCCCTCTCGGGTCAAAAGCAGCCTAAGTTGGTCTTGCTTTTAAGAGCCTTAGGGGCTAGGAAAGAAGGGATAGTGTAGACCAGGGGAAGGAAATGGGGGAGCAGACTGTGAGAGTGATGCCCCTTACCCACTGTCTACTGCCCAGGCTGGGTGGATAAGGCTGGGCATGGGTCCTGTACTGTGGCACCTACCTTCCTTACACAGCCCAAAGTCTGCAATCTTCAGGAACCCCTGGGCATCTAGCAGGAGGTTGTCCAACTTCAGGTCCCTGAGAAAAAGGGGACAGATCACAGGGTTTGAGAAAGGCCAAGGTCCAGAGGACAGCAACCTGATTCAGGAATAGCCCGAGATAGATCCGCAACTGTTCCCTGCTCATCTCACCCCAATGCTCACCCTACAAGTTACCTGTAAATGATCTTCTTTTCGTGTAAGAATTGCAGCCCCAGGACCACACAGGCCAGGTAGAACCTTGGGGAGTGCAGGGGAGAGTTCAGAACTTCAGGGCATGAGGAAGGAAGGCTTTAGGATGGTATGGCCTGGGGACCTCTTTGATAATCTTGGTCAGAGGCACATATGGGTGATGGAGACAGATAAACCTCATGCCTGGGTTGGGAACACCTCCAGACAATTATGCCAAGGTTACTAGCCACTAACACCCTACCCTTCCTAGGCTTTTAAGCTGTGCCAGGGGGCTGTGCACACAGCCCCTGAAGTTCATACTCATCATGCCTAATTTTCAGATAAGGATCAGAGTGGCCAGGTCAGTGACCTGCCCAGGTGAACTCAGGCCTTCCCAAATCAGAGCCTGCATTCTCGAAGGTAAAGCTTACAGCTCCAGGTGCCGTTCACTGTGGTGTTTCCTGTGCCCACTCTGTGCTAGGCAATTTGTTATTCTCATCTAGGCAACAATTCTATGAAATACTACTAGCCAAATTCATACATAAAATGAGGACATGGGTCACACATGCTATGAGAGCTGGAGCCAGGATTTGAACCATGGTCTCTAATTCCTCTTCTGCTGACTTTTGGTGCCTGAAGGAAACAGAAGGAAGAGGTCTGGGTAGGGAAAGTAGAAGCAGGGAAGAGGGCGAGCGACCCACCGGGCTTGGGGCTCAGAGAAGACATCCTCGTGAATCTGCATCATAAGGTCTCCCCCGGGTGCAAACTCGGTCACGAAACAGGTGTGGCTGGGGGTTTGGAAACAGGCAAAGAGGGAGAGCAGGAAGGGGTGCCCAGCGCGGCCCACGGCCTCTAAGATCCGCTTCTCGCAGTACAAGCTGTAAGGCAGGGCGTGGGTCTTCAATGGAACAATAAGCTCCACTGGCTGCACCCTGCCACCCACGTGACACCTCTGGCTCCCTGGGTCCTCAAAAGGCCTGATGAGCACAGTGATGGTGGCTTCTATATTACCAGGAATCATGTGAGTCCTCAATCCCACATAACCATCAGTACCCTGCTCAAGGGCCTACAGTTAATAACTAAAAAGAAAACCCAGACCTGGCTTCCCCAAAGCCTGCACCTTAACCTGAGCAGAGTCACCTGTCCAAAGCCCAGAACCTCCAGCTATGTTCTGGGTGCCCATGGCCTTGGTCTCAGCCATCCAGAGTGACCCCTGGGGCCAGGTGCGTGGAGAAGGCAAATCACCTCTCTATCTCATCCCGGTCTAGCACCTTCCGCTTCTTTAACGCTTTGATGGCGTAATATTTTCCTGTCCCCTTGAATTGGACCAGAAGGACCTGGGGGCAGAGAGTGAAGGGCTCAAGTGAACAGTGCAGGGAAAACCCCCAACCCTTCACTTCCTCAAACCACTGCCCCCACACATCCCCAGTGTCCTGCCGCCTCCTTAGCCCACTACCTTTCCAAAGTGCCCGCGGCCCAGCACAGCCAAGCAGCGGAAGTCCTGAAGCCGGGGGGGTTTCCTGTAAGAGAGCAAAGGCACAGGAAAACTCTGGGACAATGGCTGGGCCTCCACCAGGAGCCCCTCCAAACCCTCCAGGGCCACTTCTGAGCTGTCCCCGCCTATGGAGTTTGAGGAACAGGCTAGAAAGCCCTTTGGGTGAGGGGGTATTATCCTGGACAGCAATTTCCTAAAGACTGGCATACAGCTAGAACTAAATAATGTGGGCTCAGTGAGTAAGAACTTATGACACCAAGCCATGGATACACCAAGGACCATCAGAGTGGCGAGTGACTGAATGAACAAATGCTTAAGTAAGGGAGTAAACACCTCCACTGCGCATACCTGCTGGATGAGGTTGCAGAGGGTACTTCAAATCTCATCCTAGGCTCCATGTGGGGGCGCTTAGTGCACTGTGAGAGAAGAGGGGCTCAGGACTCATCTGGGCTTCCTTCCTCCACTCCCTGCTGTGTCTCCCACCATCCCAGTCCCCAGGGGCTGCAGTTTGGCGCTCCTCCTACCCCTCACCGGAATCTCCTCGGGGGTGGGCTCCTGGGGCAGGTAGATGCGGGGGGGTTTTGGAGGGGGTTTTGTCTCTTCTCCCAAGGGGGCTTTCCTGGGTGGGAAGTTACTGTGGGGAGGACAAGGATACATGGCCGATGGAATGGCTAGGAGGGACAGACACACAGCCATGCAGAGAGACAAACAGGACAGCTGAAGACTGATATACACAAACTGAACCTGGAGAGATGAGCAAAGCTGGGGCAAAGGGGGTCCTCACCTGGGGGAGGCAGGATTGGCAGCCCCCTGGGGTATGGCTGGGGTCTGGGGGCAGCCTCTAGAGGGGCTGATGGTGCTTGGGGACCTGCAGGGGGGCAGCAGCTTGACCAAGCGCCCCCAGGCCAGCATGCTGAGGTTCATCTGGGAAGCCCTCAGGAAATCCTGGCCTGAGGAGCAAAAGGGGGGCTCAGTTTTGGGGTCCCCATTGGGCTAGCCCTGCTCCCTACTTGCATAGCCCTAGTGCATCCTCACCTCTGCGTTTGGAGAAAATGCGTTTCTGCCTCTGTAGCCGAGGCCTCCTCTCAATGACGGGGTCACAGAAGGTCACCTGTGGGAACAAGGGCAGAGCTAGGACCAATCCTCTCTATCCTAACAGCCAGGGTATACCACCGTGGCTTCCAGCAGCCCAGCCTAAGCCCCAAATTACAATGAATGCAAGACCCAGAAGGCTCAGAGAGATGGAACTGATGTCCTCATTGGTCCTAGTGAGAAACTGAGGCCAGAAAAGAGATCCTTGTCTGGAGTCACCCATGAGGCAAGACAGAGCCAGGACAGGGATGCAGGTGCCCTAACTGCCCTGCAGTGCCCCCGCCACAGTGGGGCTGGGAATCCTGCATCCTTGAAGGCCACCTCTCTCTGGACCTCCACTTTCCCACTTAGGTGTGGTGTTCACATAGTTATGAAGGTTCTTTTAGCTCTGATGGAGCCTGTGACCTGCAAGGTCAAAGGGCAGGCATCAGTAAGTACCTCAGCAAAGAGCAGCCCCTGGGGCACCAAGCTGAGGGACAGCTGGTGACAGGCATTGTCCAGAAAGTCCTCGAGCCTCAGGAAGGCCACACCACACAGCTGCCGCCAGTCCCGCCAATGCACCCCAATCTCCAGCTCACGGGCCTAAATCAGACAGTGCCAGGTTGGCGATGGGGTTACAGAACCAGCCCCAGTCAGCCTTTCACAGTAGGGCCCACGGGTACCCCTGACTTCACAAGGTCAGGCTTACCTGCTCCAGGGGAATGTCAAAGGTCTGGTCCCAGGACTGCTTGGCCACTGGGCCCCAGCCTGTCTGACCCACAATACGATTGTCTACCTTCAGCACAGCAAGCACTTCACCTACAGGGCCAGAGGCAGGGCTCAGAATTCTGTGAGCAGAATTCCCTGCTGCACCCTTCTATCTGATGTCCCCTACTCACTGGCCAGTTCGCCCCCACCACGTTGCTGTTTGGCCCTGGCCCAAAGCCAGCCTTCAGAGGGACTGCCAGCCAGGGCAGCGGCTGGAGAGCGTCCAGGCACAGCAGTCAGCACCTGCTCACAGCCCAGGAGGCGGACCTGCAGCATCCCTGTGGGAAGGCACGGGGAGATGTCATCCCTCCATCATCACCAGGGGACCCCAAGAAGCAGCTTCTCCTCAAGGCAGCTGAACTCAGACCCAGCGCACTCAGGCTTAACAGTCGCCTGCCATCCTTGAAATTGGGAAAATCCATTTGACACCCCCTCTATGTGCCAGAGGTAGAAAGGACACACAGGAGGGGAGCCAGAGGCTTAGACCTCAGCCCAGACCCATAGAGATACAGCACATAATGAGAGGCCCAGGACTTTGGGCCTAGAGCTTAGGATAGCATGTTGGAGGCCTGGCTTCCTGTCCCACTTCCTCCTTGGGCCTCTGTTTCCCCATCTATTCAGTGCTAATGAACCCCAGCTCTGCCCTTCCTCTCAAAATAGGTGTGGTATGTGTGGGTTCCTTTTAAAGGCCCTTCCAGCTTTAACTCTCAAGAAAGTGGGAATCATGCAACAATGAATGACTGGAAACCCTAAGTCTCTGTAAACTTCCAATAAAATTAATTTTTTTTTAAAAAGGGACAAACTGGAAGGGAGGGGGCAGGGAGAAAAGTATAACAATGAATGAATGAAAATCCAAAATCTCTCTAAATTTTCATTAAAATTAATAATAATAAATTTTTAAAAAAAGAAGGTGGGAATCAAGCAGATTCTGAGCATATAGACTGGACCTAAGGGACACCATTTATAGAGTCCAGGCCTGGGGAGTACATGCAGAGGTGCCAAAGGTGGGAAGACCATGTCAGGAAGGATGGTGAAAGGAAATGGGGCATGCAGCCAAGAGGCAGGTGTCCTAACTGAATGACAGGATTTTTTTTTATTATTATTTTCTGTGTGTGTGTACCGTCAAATTGAATCTGACTGGTACAGGAGGACAGATGGCTCCTCCTTCTCCGGCAGAGCATCTGATGGATTCAAACCACATATCTCTGGGATTGCAGTGCAGCTTCTTGCCACTAGGCCACCAGAGCTCCCCAATGACAGGATTTTTTAACAGCTGCTCTGTGGGAGAAGGATGGGCAATCTCCTGTACGATTGCTATACTGCCTCTGAAACCCTCTGGAGGGTCATCTATCAGTCAGTTCCAAATCGATGGTACTCAACATGAATTCCCTTTACCATAAGTTCCCAACATGTCTACTCTGGTAACTTTCACACATCCTTCAAGACCAATTTCAGACATCATCTCCTTTAGGAAGCATTCTCAGATCAAGGTCATGTGAGGGATCCTGTCCAACCCTAGTACATCCCAATTTCAGCTCAGCTCACAACAGTGTGGCCTGTCTGCCTGCACTGACAATGCAGGTGGGGGCTAAGCTTTAGTTCACATTATATCCCCGGTGGGAATCTCAGGCATTCAAAGTCTTTATTGTTGATGGCAAATTGCCATCAACAATAAAGACTTTATTTGCCATTGAGACAGAACAGACTCATAGATGACCCTCCAGCAGGTTCTCAGAGGCAGTCAATCATATGGGAAGACAATACCCATTTTTCTCACTCAGAATGGCTGGGGGATTCAAACTGTGAGCCTTTGGGTTGGCAGTGCAGTTTTGTGGTTTTTTAAAAAATTTATTTTATTTTATTAATTTTTTTTGTGTGTACCGTCAAATCAGATCTGACTGGTACAGGAGAAGATTGTCCCTACTTCTCGAGCAGAGCATCTGGTGGATTTGAACTGCACACCTCTGGGATTACAGGCAGTGCAGTTTCTTACCACTAGGTCACCAGAGTTCCCTTCAAAGTCATTGCTCTATCATTTATCAATTGTGACTTGGCTGTTGCTACAAGGAGACAGAACTTAGCTCTGGATAAGAATTAACTTTCTAATCGTCCAAGCTACCCAGGACTAGGAATCAAGACCTCTAAGATTGTGAATTTCCCAACATCAGCACTTTAACCATTACAGTGGCTACTGATTTAAATAGCAGTAATACTGAGCAAATGCTGGCCGTGCCAGGCACCATGTTTTTTGCATTTTACGTGCAACTGACTTTTCACAGGAACCCTGTGAGATGAGTGCTACTGTCCCATCTCACAGATGGATAAATCAAAGTTGAGAGAGGGATGTCAGTTGAGCAAGACCACATGAGAGTGGTGGGTAGGCCCAGGATTGGAACTCTTCTCCCAAGTCCTTCCCTGCCAAGGTTCCTTCATGTAAGAGGAGGGGAGCCCTGAAGGGGGTGGCCTCCGGCTACCTGTCAAAGTGGTGGGCTTCACAAGTGTCCCAGAAGGCTGAAGGTTCCCCGGAACAGCCGTCTGCAGCTCCCGGGCCACACTGCCACGCAGTGGGTGGGCAGGAGGCAGCCCCTCCAGCAGCTGCTCCAAGGCCAGGCGCAGGAGGTCCAGTTTCTGGGAGGACTCCTGGAGCTGGGCCTGAGCCTGCAGGTACAGGGAGAGACAGGGCCGGCCCATGGAGCACAGGAAGTGGGCACAGTCATCCAACCCACCTTGAGACATCTGCCAGCATGAGGTCTGGACATAATGTGTCTCTTACTTCCTCTTACTTCCTCATTTGCACTTCCACATCTGGTATAGAAGGAAGGAGATAGAGGAACAAGCTGACTCTTGGAAAGGAGCAGGAAGAAAGGAGGGGGGTCATGATCTGACCTCAGCCAGAGCCTTTCGGTCCTGTGCTCGCCGGCCACTGAGCAACTTCACCACATTCTTAGCACCCTCAGCCACAGCAGCTTCAATGCGACGTCGATGCCGTAGCTCCTCTGCCAGCAATTCAGGACCTGGAGGGGATGAGGCCAGGCAGGATCCTTCCAGGTCTTCAGGTCCCTGCCCTGCTCTGCCCTGCTCATCCCCAGGTCACAGGTTCTCACTTGGCTCAGGCGACCCACTGGCTTCCAGGCTACTGATCTTCATCTGCAGCAGGGCCACCTTCAGCTGGCTGTCCCGCAGCATCTGCTTGACAGCTGCCACGATTTTCCTTTCCTGTGGGGTCATAACAGCAGACTAGGACTGAGATCAAAGGTAACAATGAATGAATGGAAATCCAAGTTTTCTGTATACTTTCACTAAAATATCAATTAAAAAAAGATAAATAAAATAAAATTTTAAAAAGTGTCTCCCCATTAGACCAGGAGTTGGAGCCAAGTGCCCCATTAGATCAGGTTTGGTGCGGAGTCTCCCCTATAAGACCAGGGAAGGTTGGGGGTCAAGTCTCCTCTCAGACCAGGATTGATGCTAAGCTACTCTGTTATTATATTTGAACCAAGGCTAACCTCTTTCTGTAAGACATGGACTAGGGTTCAGTTTCTGTCATGCCCAAAGGTGGGAATGGGCCACCAGAGTAAGGACCCAAGCTGGATCAGAGTTATATGCTCCTTGAGGACCAGAGGTTAGAGTCATAACCATTCCACCAAACTGGAATTTGGACCCTGCCTCCTCCATCAGACTTAAGGCTGGGCCAAGTCTCCATTATGGGCTGGGCTGCATCTTCTCATCAGATTAGGAACTACCTGGAATGACACCTCCTCTAAGAGTCCTCTCAGCAAACTGAAAGCTAGAACTCCCCTATCAGACCCCAGGGGCCTCACCTTGGGGGTGCCACTGGCACATGTGTGGGTCATGTTCTCAGCCCCCTGCTTTACTTTGAGCTCCACCTCCAGCTGCTTCCGAAGAACTTCCAGGCGCCGAGCCCTTGGTTGCTCCGCCCAAGGTCGGAGTGCTGAAGCTGCAGATTCTGTGCACAGGGAATGTGGGTACATGAACACCTCATTCAGATCCTAGATCTCTCCTCTTTTTCTCCGTTGTTGAGAGGCATCATCAGAGGATACCTGTTCCTAGGAGTGATCAGAGGTAAAACCCAGGACCCAGCTCAGTCCAGTGCCTCCTCATCACGAGGGGTCTGCTCACATGCCACACTCACCAGCTAGCCCAGACCCGGGGCCAGGTGTGATGTGAGCATGCAGCGCCCGAAGGTCCTCATGCAGCTGCTCCAGGCGGCGGTTGGAGGACCTCAGTAGTTGCTGCACGTGACCCAGGTGGCGGCGGTCTATGGCCACACGCCTTAGCTTCTCCATGCCCTCCTTGATCTTCAACTCCTTCTGGATGGCCTGGCGGATCTGCTCTTTCTCATCCTCTGGCGGCCGCTGGCCTGTCCCAGGCTGCAGAAAGGAAGAGATTTTCATGCCAGGGAGCCCTTACATCAGCTGCCAGAGTGAGAGAGAAGAGTAAACAGTACTCAGGACAAATACAGGGCTTGAGAAGCTTCTCTGACTTTAGGACTCAGTATCCCTCAGAAAGATGGTGCCTAAAAGGCCCTTATCCGGCTTCACCCTCCTTAGATGGTGCTTGTTGGGTGCTGACTCCTGTCCTAAAAGCTTTACATGTACTAATTTCACAATCCTTACAGCAACCCCACAAGGTATGTGCAGTTAGTATTCCTGTTTTACAGATGAGGAAACAAAGAGAGGTAATTTGCCCAAGATTATAACCCAAAGGAGATGCTACCACCTCGTCGGCCTCAGCCTCTCCCAGCTAGCCATCCCAAGTCAGGCCACTCTTTCTGTATCGGGGATCCAGGGTGGAGGAAAGAGTGTTGTGCCAAATTTTCTAGGAAAAGGCTGTCAGAGGTCTGAGGAAGAGGCAGCAAAGCAGAAGCACAGAAGAACTGAGGGACGTGCTAAGGGTCCATTCCCAGATCGGCTCCTGGGCAAAGGAGGAAGCTCCCTTCCTACTTAACCTCAGGCTGAAGCAAGGAAGAGGAAAAACTCTTTCCCAGAGGCCATCTGAAGCCAACTGATGCCAAAGCTGACCTCAGGCAAGGGTAGCTAGTAACGACACTTGCAGGGCACTCTACACACCACCCTCACCTTACCTTTCGTCCCTCCATCTCTTGAGCCCAGTGTAAGGGGTAGCCACCAGTTTCAAGGACCCAATCCAAGGCTTGCCCTGAGCCCACTGGGTCCGCCAGGTTCTAGAGGGCAGGGGCGAGGCTCAGGAAATCCTCTGACCGCCCTAGGCAAGCAGTCCAGAGCCAAAGGCCTGAGCAAACAAAGATCCCATGGAGCTGGGGGCCTGGCCACCAGCGTCCTGAGTCACCCGGCTGCTGGGCGGAGGCTCACAGGAAACTGGAAAATGTGTACAAGCCACCGCTGGACTAAACTGCAGGGCTTCAGAGGAAGGCAGTGAGACGGGGTGCCCTAGGTGATAGTGCTCAAGTAGTCTCTGCCTAGGGTCCCTCGGCCCTCAACATCTTTACTAGTCTTGTCTGCTCTGGGCACTAACTTACGCACCTTTCCAATTGTTCTGTGCTGGAACATCTTCCCAATAACCGACGACGTAAACACAGCCTTGGCCTCCTGGACCCATGCACACCCAATGTTCCAGCTCTGAGCTGGAACCCCGCCACCCCTCGGTCTAGGGCTGGAACCTGTATGCGGTTCCACCCGGGAGCGCTGGACTAGGCGACTCCGCTAGCCGACACTCTCCTGCGGAGCTTCTCTGGAGCTCGGTGAGGGCCCCTCCTAGGGTCCCTCTCCACGTGTACGTACCCCTTTATCCCCAGACAGACCTTCTTTGCTTTCTGAGCTAATGCGCATTGGCTTTGGCGTCCCAACTGGAAGAATCGACTCTAGAAACCTTTGGGGCCCTCCCAAATGTCCTTGACTGAATTCAGACGCACCGGCCAGAGCACAGGCTGTTTATCTAGTGGCTAATTTTAGGGAAATTTCCCAGGACTTGAAATGACAACCCTTGTACTCAGGTTTTCGCTGCGAGGATGTAACAGGGCGCAGGGCGAAGGTTAGGGAGGGTCGATGGAGGGGTAAGGACGCTGATTTAAGGGAGGTGCTTGGGACGCATGGCCTGCCGTTCCCCCGCGCCGAGCGCTGCTTTCGTCCCCCACCCAGGCCCCTCTGTGCAGGTCACCTGTCGCGACGCCCCTTCCTCCATGGCACTGCTCGGGCCCCTCCTCTCCACCACTCCGGTTCCGGAAGCTCCGGCCCCTCTTTCAGGACTTTCAAACTTGAAACTTCCCGGGAAGTGGTGCAAAAGCGGGATCGGGCGCCCCCTCCCGGGATCCGTTGGTTTTTTGGAGACCTTCGAATGAGCGCCGCCTCTCGGCCGTGCAGGTGCCGCGCGCAGATCCCACCGCTGAAACTCGAGCCCCCACAGCCTCTTCTGAGGCCTCAGTTCCTGCTCTGTGCAGTGACCCCAAGCCTGAGAATGAAAGGCACAAAACAGCACTTCACTCACCTGGTTCCTTAGCGTTACTGAGCTGGGCACTCAGGCCGACCCAAATGGGGAGACTCCTTGGTACAAGGTTGCTAGTTATAGACACAGAGTAAGCGATCAAGTTGAGCTGAATGTTATTGTTAATTATCCATATTTTCTGAGCATAAAGGGTTTCAGCTTGACAGCAGTCCATAGGTTTAATAAACCCTTTAATAAAACTCGCCTTAACTCTCACAACTTGTCCAATAGTGGCATCCATCAGGCCAACCAGCACACTTTTAGAAAGACTGACATTTAATACTACTTTTTTGACTTGATGGACTATTGCTGCCTTCTGAAAGCTAAATCGGTAATCTCACTCTCCTTAAGAGGGTGTTTCCGACTTCTAGAACCATTTATCCACTTTCTGCAGCCAAGAAGCTGAATTATTTGAAATAAAAGCTCAAGATGTTTCTCTGAACTTGCTGTGAAATATTTCACTGCCTCCCTATCACCAAAGGGAAAAACTCAGGATTCAAGCAAAATCCATTCACCTCTCTATCCTAATGTTTGACAAAAGAAAAACTGTCACCAATCTAAGTTAATGGATGAGGTCAGACCAAAAAGTTGGTGTCTGACAATTCATGGGACTGTTGATTGTTAGGTTAACTCAAGATCATATTCAACATCTTGTGGATAGTGCATCCAGCTCTCCAAAGAAGTGATTGTACCATCAATCAGAAGGCATCAAAAACTTCCTAGGGGACCAACACTATCCCTTCTTTTCTAGCACACTGAACTTTTCTTCAAAGCATTGCAAACAAACGTCAGTCCCTGAGTACAATGTCCCAAACTGACACTTTTCACTTTCTCATTATTCTTGTTTTACTTGTGGAGAAGCAGTCCTTTTCTTGACCTGCTAAAATTTTCCTAACTTCAAAGGTACAATCACACTGCAATCCCAGAGGCATGCAGTTTGAAACCACCAGATGCTCTGCTGGAGGAGGGACAATCTCCTCCTGTACCAGTTAGATCTGATTTGACGGTACACACAGGGGAAAAAAATAAAATTAATAAAAAGGTACAATCATGTATTAAAAAACTAAAGACTAGCAACATCTCTAAACAAACGGAATGGCTAGTTACGCATGTTCTAAACCTGTCTGTCCCAGCCTTCAGGAAATCGTTTGCAAAAAAAACCCTATTTGCAAATGGCAGGAGGGGTTCATAGCAAAACTGAATAGAGCAGGAAAGTCAAACACGTTTTAGAGACCAAGTGAAACCCTGTTGTAAATGATAAAAAATTTAAAAACAAAGCTGTTCTACAGCAACTGGTACCAGTAAACGGAAGATTACAAAATTAATCCAGAATTACTCAGAATTTTTAAAACCAAGACTTTTAGGACTCCTAGTGTCATAGGGTCACTGAGTTGTGCTCAACTTGATGGCAATCAAGTGGCAGTGTGGACTATTAAAGTTCATCAAACACACCAGCTGCTCCACTTAAGAGGCAGATGAAAGTTTACACTGACCTAATATGATGCAATGCTTTCTAGTGAAGCCACTTTAGCAGTGGATTTGGGTTTTCTAGGAGTTAAGAGCCTAACACAAGAGAAGCAAATAAATCTGTCAACCAAACACCAAGCAAGTCCAGCTAGCCTGTGGGCTATTCAAGAGCTGGAGTTGGATGGAATGTAGAAGATGGACAGTAACTGCAGTTACAGCTTTTTAAGCATGGTACAGATTGTGAAGAGTCAGGATCAGTTTCTATCCATAGGTTAGTCCATCACTAACCCAATGCAATAATGGCTCTACAACTCCTCCCATGCAATTTACAACCTTGGAAACCCAAAAGGGTTTGAGTTAGCAACCAGCAAGCCCATAATGAAACAGCACAGGACATAGAATGGAAACCCAGAACCGTTAGAATCCCAGTGGATTTACCCTAAGTCCAAATCCACAGGATGGCAATGGTGGGTGGGCTGGCACATATGGGAGAACCCAACCTTTTACTTGAAATCAGGGCATCACTGGTGAAACCAGTAGCTTAAATTTGTAGGGAAAGTCTGGAATAGAAGACCTAATAGGACATACTACAAATTACTGTCCTTATAATATACCAATTAACATTCCATTCCAGATCATGACTTTTCTTTAAAAAAAAATCCCTTGTAGCAAAGAGGATTTGAGCCAATCAGCCTTTTCCTATATCCATGTGCATGAAGTCTTTCTTAACTCAAACTCTCATTGTAACTGGTCAGGAAGCTATTCTCCTACTAGCCAAAGTTGCCTGCCTAGCTCCTTTGCTCACATAGCCTCTTTGCTTTCAAAGCCTAGCATTCTACTGCATCTGTAGGACCCAAAGTTGGGGTAAACTTACTCCCACTTTCTCAGCACTAAATCTGTCTACATGTACAACCTACCCAACAAAACTCCCAGCTGCAGTAAATGAAGATAAAATCACAAGCTTACCCAGAGGGTAGTTTTAAACAAATATTTTAAATATGGAAAATGTTTTCTAAAAAGCCTCATTTACTACCATCCCATTTTACACTTTAAAAAGTTTACTATTTTTTTTGTGTATGTACTGTCAAATCTAATACAGAAGATTGCCCCTCCTCCAGCATAGCATCTCGTGGATTTCAACCACATACCTCTGGGATTGCAGTGCAGCTTCTTTAAAATTATGACTCAAACTTTTCATGTGTAACTGTCTGCAGTTTCCCCACAACCTCCACCCTCACCCAGTCACTTACACCAAAAGCCTAAAGAGCTTACCACAATCAAAATCCAAAAGCAAGTGACATTTCTCTACAAAACAAGGAGAATGACCCCAGTCAAAAAAAAAATCTTTATGTTCCTTTATTGGAGCAAGATTCCTGACTGGTACAGTGATGTATATACTAAATATAAAGACCTGTGCAGAGAAATTACATACTATCCATCTAAACAAGTTTTGTTACACTTTGCCTCTTGATGGAATAATTCCATTTAAAAAGTTTTATACATCAAAAGCTTTGAATTAAACCAGGCTAGCTGTTGATTCATCTCTGAAAACATAAGTGGCATTGATTTAGCTACTTTATTTTACAGCATTAAAAAAGCTTATGTATTAGGTAGCTTCTCAAAAATTACTTTATGCACAATGGCATTTAGCAGACTGAGCAGTGTTTACCCAGATTCACATAAATGTCTCATTTGCTAACTTTATGGAGAGCTGGTATTTGAGACAGGTACTCCTGAGTTTCTCACCACCAACATGGACTCAGTGGCTGTCTTCTGAGGCACATCACCACATTACAGTGCCAGTGAAGACATGGCAGCAACTGCCCAGCGTGCCTCCACATTAGAGCACCAGGTCTGATAGTGGTGGCAGGCACTATTATCATTACATCCAAGAAAGAAAGGGCCATTTTAGTAAAAACCGCCAATTTGAGATAAAAATCAAGGGTACACATACTAAAATCTTGAGTTTTATACAATCTAAATCCCCAGTGCTGTGAATTATTTCCAGAAACCAATGGTAAATTGTACCCAGTGTTTCCCAGTTAGAAGTCTTTAATATTGACTCAAATCTCTTTTACTCAATCCACATAGCCCTGAGGTCAACTCGCAAAGTGCGCATCAAAAAATACGGAGTTAAGATGACAAAAGTTGACAATGATATATTAAACAAGTCAAACCCGGAGGTCTTCTGTTCTGAGAGAAAAGCATCAAATCCTCGTGTACACATTTAGTTTTATTGTAACAAAGCAACTTGTACACTTTTAACGTTTAAAACTGAGCATCATCTTTTCTTTCCAGTGAAACAAAAAGAAAATTTAAAAATAAACAGGAACAAAATTACAATAGAGAATGTCAATTCCAAATAAGATCCTACAGGTTCT